TCTTTTTTATTCAAGTGATTCTTCAATTATTCATTCATTCAAACTTTTTCCTTCTTTTTAGGCTATATTTCTACTTCTTATTCTTATATTATTTCATGCAAGTCTCTTCTTCCATTCATTTCATTTCTTGTTGCTTAATAATATTAGATTTTGCTTTCTCTCACACTCAATTATTTGCATCTTAGTGGCTTTATCTTTGTAGTGAAATGATATATATATATATATATATATATATATATATATATATATATATATATATAGTAAATGTTAAAAAAAATATTAAGTCTTTGCCAATTATGCATTGAAAACGGCTTGAGTATCCATTATATATATATCACCTCTCACGCAGCAAACAACTTATCCCATCTACGCAGCATCCAAATATTCACAACCCCTTCCAAAACAATTATGCATATAAGGAGAACTAAAAACACTGATAACAATAATAGTTCAGATGCAGGTATATATAAAATACACTGCCAAAACTGTTTCTCACAATACATTGGAGAAACATGCAGAAACACAAACGGGACCTCTTACACAGCTTATCAAATGTGCTTGTCATACACAGAAATAAATTCACCCATAATCTAAAAAAATGCCAGAGTTTTCAAAAGAGAAAGTAATTTACTCAGAAGGAAAATTCTTGAGAGTGTCACTATTGAATCTTATCAAAATATAAATTAACAACCCAGTTTCTTTCCAATCTGATCTTTCCATAAAGAATTATTACTTTCCTGAGCCAATCTACATGACCACAAATATGCTGAAAAATAAAAATAAAATTGTAAAATACATTAACTCATGTTTTGTGAAGATATACAGCACATACATTCATCCTGTGACAATCTAATCACAATTTAAATAATATTCATTTATTTAAAATAAAAAATTTTAAAAAATTTCATGAATATTACGTGCTTACATTTGTTTTAGCAGAGTTTGATTTATGGCACGTTGTGCCCTCCAAATGTCCTGACTGACCTTTCAACCACTTGAATGTTCTCAAATTAAAAGCCTTAATAAACTAATGACAACCTCACTCTTGTATATCAACACATGCAACAAAATAATATTTCGGCTGTTGTACACTCTGGCCTTCTTCAGGTGGTTGGAATGTCAAACTCAACCCTTTATTTCACTCACTGTGGTAGTCTGTTCTAGTTCCACATGCCATGATTAATGGATGTCTGTTATCAGTTATCTACTGTTAATTTCCCTCTCCAAATTCTTCACTAGCTTAACCGGGTATTAAACTCACACTCTTTGGGTCCTCTCACCGGATCTAACCAATGCCTTTATCCACTGTGCCATGTGTCCTTGAGGACACCTGTGTATGAATTTCTGGGTATTATAAACCTAATGTCTTCAGCAACCATTTTTACCACTGCACATATAGCAATTTTTGTTGTTATTATCGCTTTTTTCTGCCACTCCTTATTACTGGTTCTCATATTGTATTCATTTCTATGCTTGGTCGGCTCAGGAGATTTTTGTGGCCTAGCATATGTGCTGATTCCTTAAGTTTATGAATTTTTCAATGATGTTCTTGGTCTATGATCTCAACCTGATCCCATAGAGGGTGGTGATCTCCCTTTTCTCTCCATATGTGGTCAGCCATGACTGATTTTTCCACTTCCCCTCATGTTACAGCTTTCTGGTGTTCTTGAAGTGACGTGTGGTACTAGAACTATCTACTCTGGTGGACAAAATAAAGGGTTCAGTTCGACATTCCGAACAACCTGAAGAAGGCCGGAGCATACAATGGCCGAAACATTGTAATAAATATGGCAAAAAAAATAGGGACGATAGTCTGAATAATGTAAATAGTGTACATGATACCTCATCTCAGAAATATAGACAGATAATGAAAGGCTGAAACGTAATAAATATGGCAACAAAGATGAGGACAATAGCCTGAATAATGTAAATAATGTACATAATACCTCATCTCAGAAATATAGACGGATACTGAAAGGCTGAAACGTTGTAATAAATATGGCAATAAAGATGAGGACAATAGTCTGAATAATGTAAATAGTGTACATGATACCTCATCTCAGAAATATAGAAAGATATTACAATAAAATAAATCTGTACATTTGCCTTGATAAAGTTCCTCAGAGGATGAAACACATTGGCTAAGAATAATTTTCCTCTTATCTTTTTATTCATTTTGTTCCTTTATAGATACATTCTAATCTGAAAATTATTTACATTATGAGAGAGAGAAACGTTTTTGTAACATATGTATCTTTTATATTTAATATATATTACTTCAAACATATTTTTAGTAGATACTACTCTTTGTGCAGTGTTTATTGCATCTACCAGATTATGCACTTGAGAAAATGTGCCCATCAGTAGTGTTCAAAACCTGTACCCCACTTCTATGGGAAACCACTGTCATTTGCATTCTTTACATTATTCGGACTGTTATCCTCATCTTCATTGAAATATTCATGATGTTTCTGCCTCTATATCTCTGAGATGAGGTATTGTGATTATTTGCATAATTTACATTATTTGGACTGTTACCCTCATCTTCATTGAAATATTCATGATGTTTTGGCCTCTATATCTCTGAGATGAGGTATTGTGATTATTTGCATTATTTACATTATTCGGACTGTTATCCTCATCTTCATTGAAATATTCATGATGTTTCGGCCTCTATATCTCTGAGATGAGGTATTGTGATTATTTGCATTACTTACATTATTCGGACTGTTATCCTCATCTTCATTGAAATATTCATGATGTTTCGGCCTCTATATCTCTGAGATTAGGTATTGTGATTATTTGCATTATTTACATTATTCGGACTGTTATCCTCATCTTCATTGAAATATTCATGATGTTTCGGCCTCTATATCTCTGAGATGAGGTATTGTGATTATTTGCATTATTTACATTATTCAGACTGTTATCCTCATCTTCATTGACATATTCACAACATTTTGGCTGTTGTAGCTTTGGCCTTTATGTCTATGTCTCTCTATATATCTGTCTATATCTCTGAGATGAGGTATTATGATTACTTGCATTATTTACATTATTCAGACTATTATACTCATCTTTATTTACATATTCTCAAAGTTTCGGCCGTTGTACAGTCCAGCCTTCTTCAATTGATTGGAATTTCGAACTGAACCCTTTATATTGTCCACCAGAGTAGATAGTTCTAGTTCCACACGCCATGCCTCTTCTGGATGTCTCATATATTTCTCTTTAACTCAACTCTCCAAGTTTTGGTTCTCCACTGCTTTGGCCTGGTATTGAACTCATAATTCTTTGGGTTTAGTCTTTGGATCTAACCAATGTCTTTGTCCACTGGGACATGTGTCCTTGGGGTCAAAACAGAACCAAAAACTAGGAGAGTTGAATTGAAGGGAAATAACAGAGACATCTGGAATTCCAATCATCTGAAGAAGGCCAGAGCATACTATGGCCAAAACATTGTGAATATGGCAATGAAGATGAGGATGATAATCTGAATAATTTAAATAATCATAATACCTCATCTCAGAGATACAGACAGAAACCACTGTCAGATTAAAAATAAATTGATTAATTTTCGGGGAAATATATATATTTATATGTTATGTTTATATATATTTCATTACTTCAAACACTATTTTTAGCGGAATCCTTTATTTGAGAAGAAGTTCCAATCTATTCTAAACAGTATTTATTTCATCTAGTGACTGAACATTTAAAATAACTTATTAAAGAAAATATGTGCTCTGGTGCAAGATTCATTCCCTTTTTGCAGGAGGAACCTCTGTCTGATCTGATGTGCTTTAACTGCACGGCTATAAAGAGCTTCATAATCAAGTAAGGTTCTATTTGCACATTTTCTTTCATAAGTTTTCTTGTGTGTGCAGGCTGGCAGACAAAAAAATACTTTTTAATATAAGACAGAGCTTCTAATACAGGTGCAAATATTTGTGTCACCTGCATAAATTCATAGTTGGGAAATGATGACATCGGAAAGGGCGTTGAAGAACAATGTAGATTTAAGGATAGAACCTTGGTGGACATCTGCATTAATGTGAAAAGAATTAGAAGCATGTCCATTCAACATGACCTTCATTACAGGATCCATTATGAATGATTGATTTGAACCAAATATTAATCCTGAGGCACTATAGTAAGTATTAAAGTACACATTGCCCATCCCAGGGATTGAACCCACAAATACTATGTCACCAAATACATGAACCAATTAGGTTATTTTCTCTAAGAAAACTGATCAGTACTAAAAATAACAACTAGTGAAGATACAAACATGAGAAGAAGAACAAAATACCTTCACCCACCCCTGTAGATTAAATAAAGGGTTCAGTTTGAAATTTATCTGGATTGAAAATTACCTGATGAAGGATGGGGGGGCTGAACAGTTGAAATGTTGTAATAATAAAGAAAATAAGGACAATAGCCAAATATTAATAGTCTAGCAGACTTATTTTTTTAAAGAATTGTATTCTCCTCTGACTTCCTCATTTTGACCTTTGAGGTCAGATACAGGAAAATAAAGGAAGTTGTTTTTGATTGGCTGAGTTGAACATGGAAATGTTAGAATTAGAAAGGAGTTAAGTTTTACATGTCAAAAAATGCAGTTGTGTTATTTTTGGGGGTGGAACTTGTTCCCAAGTGGGGGTGATAGTTAAAAATATACACGTCGACGTGTTTAATAAAATAGATAAGTTAAAAATCCCTTTTGTTGAAATTCTCATTTTACCTCTGAACAAACCAACGAGTGATCACCCGACCAGGAGAAGATGGGGGAGATAGAAGAATGCAGCTTTGTTATGGAATCAACCCCATCAACTAAGAGACCCCAAGAACAAAGACGGCTATACAACACAAAACTTAAGTTTTTAATGAAGGTTTCAGTTTACAATGTATTAACTGTATTAATTTAAAATATAACTATAATACAAAAATGGACCCTTACCTTGTATTATTTAGATCAGTTTAAATGTAGTAACTTAGGC